CCCCAGCCAAGGGCTAACCCATCACATGTCCTGATAAGGAGTGATGACTTGGCCAGGACATACACACAAGCCCAGAGGCTGTCAAACATGCCCGGGTTCTTCTGGCCAACCTCAAAAGTCTATGTGAGGGAGGGTCTCAAATCTGCTTAACGCTTTCACCCTCCAGAACTCTCATAATCAGTGGCAGACAAGCTCTTCACAAGCTGCAGGCTCCACTGACAGACCTACAAGTATCTCAGGTTATGTCATGGGTGGCAATAGCTCTCCTGTGTGTGCACTGCCTATCCGCACAAGTACAAGTCCAATGCATCCCAGCTACCTCCAGCCAACTGTGCACATGGTGGAGCTGGCAAGTGCAGGGGCAGCAAATGCAGTATAGCAAGAACCCAGTGGGCAGGCTGCAAAACAGCCACCTCCAGACCCATGGTCATTTCAGAGTCTTAAAGCTGCAGCTTACTGCCCAAAGCATTAGGGCTGTGAGGTCTGCAGCAAAGACATAACAAAATACCCAGTACTATTTATTACCCTCTTAAAAGAAACAGTTTTCATGGTTATAGTAATTTAGAAAAGCCCTGCAGCCTGGGGAATCGGGAAGTGTGCTCTGGACATGGGTTTTTTTTTGGATCCTGAGGTAATGGAGACACTGTAAATAGATGTCTGATACGAATCTGTCACCAGATTAATCAGGATCTTAAAAAGCCGTAACTTAAAACACCTACCATGCTTCACCACTAAAATTTAAAGGGACAACACTCATAATATTATTTTCAGTCACATTTTGCATTCATTCAATTAGTCAACTAATTGATGAGTTGGTTCACCAGTGTAACAAACAGTGCTGTACATTATTTGTTACTCCTCAGGTAAGTACTATTCCACAGCTAACCACTGCTCACTTTATGAATCTGGTACCTCTTCAGAGTACTTATAGATGTTAGGAAAAAAACTGTTGAAATCTCTTTAATTTGCAAATGATACAGCAATGCAGCATTAGAATTTAATATAAAATAAATTTCTTTAAATATGCAAGATTTTATGTATATTATTATAATATGTTCTTCCCAAACTAAATTTTTACTGTCACCATAATTAAAGCAAAAGCTTAGGTGTGTTTTATTTTATGCTTCTTATCCACATACATTAATTCTGGCTTACACTTCTGTGACCTGAGGTAGTTGCCTTGGTCAAGGAGACGAAAAAAAACTGTTAATTGCAATTAACCTGCAACCTTCTGTGCTTCTGAAAAAGGAAAGAATAAAAGTCCTCCTGTACAAACAGTACAGTTTCTGTCATGACTGCAATAAACTAGGCCACTGGGTTCAATCCTCAAGTTTCCTTGACCTACTAAATTTACAGTAGTTTCAATGTTTGTTCCTTTCAGCCTGCTAATTCACTGTTGCAAAAAAAAGAGAAACATATATTAATAGTTCTGCTGCTTCGCTTCACAGCCTTTATGAGAAATTAGTAAGCAGAAAATGTAGCATTATAATTAGAAATGGAACCAAGCAAATAAAGTTCAGATTCACATCTGTATGTTTTACACCCATGCTTCTGATTCAAGCCCGGCTTTAATTATAGCAGGAGCTCCTTCCTCTCCTTCTGAAGAGGACTTTCTCACTGCAGCTCACTAGGATATGATTCAGTCCCTTCAGCCGGGTAATCCAGTGCAGGGGATACACAGATGCTTCAAGAATCGCTTGTCCCCAGAACGAGTACACAGACTTATCAGAAGAGGGACAAGCATCTTTCATTCCCCTCTGTTCCTCTGACAGTGAATTCCTACTTGCACAGAAATGAGGCACTCTGTCTCTTCTTTATTTGATTTTTGCTCATCTCCTCCACCTAAAGTATGATACAGCACGTAACCACAAGGTCTCGCTGAGTATCTTTAAGAACTTGGTTATGAAGGAAGTGGAAATCAATAGTTTAACAGACTCACTTGGGGATGCATGAAAAAGGGGCAATCGGGCAATTATTCCCTATAGGCTGAGCTATAAATGGCCACAGAAGCATATAATGAATAAACAACACAGACTGTAAGGGACACTCTAAGGTCATTTGGGCCAAGTCCATGCTCAAAGGAGGGCTGACTTTGAAGTCAGACCCAGGCAACCCTGCCACGAGTTATTCGCTGCAGAAAACAACAGGGAACTCAATACCAGTGCATGCTGCACTATGACACAGAGCAAATACTCTCTACAGTTCAAAGCTCAACAAAATGTGAAAAGCATGGGGTAGATTTACTCCAAGGGGATGCAGGGATTACAGGAGCTCTAAGGCCCTCAGCAGCACTGCTGGGAGGGGGCACGCTTTACACCTCATGACAGCTGAGATGCTGCAGGACTGCAGAGAGCCCTTCCTTCTCCCCAGGGGTGTTACTGACGTATCCAGCTCCCTTTGCTGCCACAAAACACGATTAGAGTCAGAACACACAGGACATTTTAAAAGACAACTTGCTTTCTGTTATGATGTTGGAGGGAAGAAAAATCCTTCATGTTTCCTCTACTATTTTGCACTCACTCGGGCCACTGTTACAAAAGGAAAGGAGCAGGCTATCAGTGCAATGGGAAGCACTGGTGAGCTGGTTGCAGGCACTGGCATGTGGTGAGTCCGCTGAGCCACCAGCAGACCTGTGTGCCCTTTCCATTGTACCCTGCACGCAGCATGTCCAAATCAGTATTTTCATGCATACTGCTACATTTTTTTCCATGTATAGTTTAGCCACACATTTTTGGTTTAGAAGCCCTTCAAGTATTTGATCATAAGATGTCAAGGACATTTGACTTAAGAAGTGAAGGAAACTAGAAACCACACAAATGCTATGAATAGAAGCTATGGCACATTTATGAACTCAGTCAAACTGGATGCATATGTTACTTTATTTAGGTACATATCAGAGAAAGAAACCCATATAATCTTTAGCTCTTTACTTATATTTAAACTACTAACTCCTCCCACTTCAGAGCATATTTCTGTTTTTATCCAACTGAAATAATCATCTGTAAGTACCCAGGTAAATTGCTTCCCAGCCCCAGAAAACCTTATACTGGCATGACCATGACATCAAACCTATCTTCACCTTCCTAAAAGAGAATAATCAGATGAGGTATTATCAAGTGACAATTAGTGACATTCAGAAGTAACATCTGAACTTTTATAAAAAGCTATGCTCCTAATGCCTGAATGACTCATGTTTGCCACTAGAACAATACAAAGTCATTAAAGAAAGTCGGCCTTTAAACATACTACTTGGAACCAGAGAAAACTGTTTAAGCAGATCAAATGTCATAAAGGCTCCTTCCAAAGTTGAGGTTGTTATAGAATAAACAGCATCAAGCGAGAGGCTGTGCTCTCTCTTTACTGAAGGCCAGGAGTGAAAAAGCAGGAGTGAAAATATTTTTTATCTGTTGGAAGTGGGAAGAATAATATTATTTTATGCATAATGATGTATATAGAGAGAATTGTAACACAAAGGCACGTGTATTGAGATACTAAACTGAAGGGTCATATCACCATAGGACTAGATTCTGCAAATTTTACATTCACCCAATCCTTACTGCGCTTTAAAGACATAGACATTGTCTTAATTGAATGGCACTTACTGGCTTCTCACACATGACTAAGAGAAGATGTAGTTTCACAACATATTGGCACTGTAAGTGAGGCCAGTTCATGAAGTTCCCAGCTACCACTCCCACTCCCTCCAGGCCACTTCTGTCCCCACATCACTGTGGGCCACCCTTCAGCCATGCTCTTATGACTAGTTGTAGGGTCACATGAGGACACAGGTCATGAAACTGATTGAGTTAAAAATAACCCCACCAAAAATACAAGGAATTATTTTTAACTTGGAACATTTCAATGACACAGTTTATGGTGTGATGCCATGACCAGTTTTAGTGACACAGCTGGTGTGGTGGCAAACCGAGAGAATGGGATGAAAGTGGGAGGGGAGAGGCCGGAAATCCTCAAGCCAGCATCACTGCCATGCAATGTGGAACAATGCCATATGGCAGAGTTTGCAAAATCTGGTCCTCTCTGCAATTTCCTTTGGCATTCTTACTTGGGTGCTATTATTACTGAAGTTTGGGGTACTTACGCCATGATGCCCGAGAGATGAAACATTTCAGCTGTTATGTATGACAAGTAACTGTACAGGAAGACAAAGAGTGGCTCAATCACTCGGATTTTATGGGTGAAACGGGTGGTAAAGGCTGCTACAAATCCCAAAAGGATTCCAATTAACACTCCACCGATACCCACTATAAAGAAGTTAGCAATCCCAGCGAATATGTCAATAACCTTAATTGTGCGCATCTGGCAGAAAGACTTGAACAAATTGTACAGGACCTATGAGAAAAAGAAAGCATATTATGTTTCTGAACTCTTAATTTCCCTTCATGTCATTATGTTCCTCTGCTTCCATGTTGAACTTTAAATTTCTCTATCTACCTTGAATTCACTTCTGAGATATGCTGCTGTTTACCTCTGGCATATTACTTGTCATCCATAAATATCAGGGAGATAAACAAAGAAGAGTAAATATCATTACTCCCATTTTTGCAAATCGGACAGGTTTCTTAACCCACACCATTCTGCAGGCCAGGAGTATAGATCTATCTAATTCTTCTTTAAATTCATTTATTTGCAGAGCTTCTAATTTCTCCACAAATGGCCATTTCAGATTTCCCCCAGAATTAAATAAATAAAAAATGAGGAGAAAAAACCACAGCTCCATAACAAGTGAAAAATCAGGTTATTTTCAAATATGTTTGATCTACATAAGACACAAAGAGCTGCAGTACTGCATTAGACCACAGATCCATCTGGCATGGGGGTGGGGGGTAGGGGAGAGAGAATGGACAGTGACCACCCTGAGGAGTACAAGAAACATGGCATGCATGGAGTGCTCTTTCTCTGACTTATTAACCATTAGAAATCCAATGGTTTAAAGACTTTTCAAATTTTAAATTATTTCTAGAAATTTGGATTGAATTCCCAGTAGAAGACCCATTACCACATATTTGCCCAGTTTAATTTTCAAAGTGTTTATAACCATCCTCCAAAACAAACTGGGTTAACAGGATTATTGCATTTTCTTAGCCAGAGAGCCTTTTTTTTTTGTTGTTTTACACAGGAAACAGAACAATGTAAAGTTCAATTTTTTCTAATATCCAGTATTTTAGTTACTACAAACCTAACAACAACGGAATCAGTTACTCCTACAGAAACTTTAAAGGGTCTCCCCATTTGCAGACTTATTTGGGAGATCTGAGCATTGCCTGGTGCTGCACGTATGCTCCCAGCCATGTGATACTGTGATGGCTGCACAGTCCCTCTGTACAGATCTAAGCTTGGTCATAGGCACCTAGTCCTATCACAGAGGGTTCACAGGCTAACCCACCTTGGTCATAATAAACACCTGACTAGTCATTGTGAACAGCTAAGAGGAGTTAAACCTCTGCTTTCTTTCTGGACTTCTTAGTGAACCAAACAGGTTTCCCTATCAGAAATGCTATTTGAGAGAACCATGTTTTATCAGTACTTGCATTGTGCCAACAACGCAGGTATTTGAATAGTGACTGGGAGGGATTTTTCATGTTTGCAGTCTTGTTCTCTCTCACATGACAGAAAGTAAGATGTATGGCTCTTCTCGGCCAAAATTTTGATAGGTCTTACAGAGGTAAAAGTTCTCACTACAGACTAATGCAAAGACATGGCCTATTATGGGTCCTTTGGGCTAAGTGAAAGGAAAGAACTGAAAAAGAAAAGAAAAAATATATTCCAGAGCAAGCATGAAAAAAGGTTAAAGCAAACTTAGCATGGTCACCAGTAATTTTCATTACAATGCAACAAACAGACAAGAAGCAGGAGCATGAACTATTTATTTGATAAGAATGGTGCCCTCAGGATGAGTCCACATGGGAGAAGAGTCCTTTTTCACCTGGGCAAACCCCTTCATCTTGCTGCTCTGAGACAGATTCTCAGCTTTTTTGCCCTGTTCCTTGTTACTACTTCCTGTGCAGAAGAGATGTCATAGGCTCCACTGCTTTTCAACCTGTTCTGATTTGCGGACCTATGGATTTGCATGAAGATAAGTTAACTAGAATTAAGCCTATTGGCAACAGATGTGGCTTTGCTGGTCACTTTACAAGGACCCCTCAGTTCACAGACTCCCAGGACTCCATGAATCACAGACTGAAGAAAAAATACAGTGGATTTGTGTTGTTTGCAAGGAGAGGAGTTCCCCTGAGTTACTTGTTGAAACTTGCGACTATTCCGGAGTTTTGTTATTCTTCAAGACATGTATAGAATTTGACCTGGCAGAATATTCCCTTGATATGTATTAGGGAAGATTATTATTTTCTTTAATTGGAGTTTTAAATAGCCTTTTTTATATTTTGAAAAGTAGCTATATAAATATATGCAATGCAAGCGTCCGAACTAAGGCTACTGAGAGCTGCTTGTAAGGCAGCATATAATTTTGATCTACTCAAGCAACAGCCTTTCCATAACGTCACCTCACCCTCACAGTGAAGTATCCGCCCTGCAAACGGAATGGAAACTGTTGTTTCCATATACAGACATCCTCATAAATCTCAAGTCTGTTGCCATAAGTTATCTGAAAGAAGAAAAGCAATGTTCTCCTTTGTACCTCAGATCAAAACCCGGCCGTCACGGTAAAAACAGCAGCTAGGACTAGGGAATGTCATGAACACAATTTTAAACTCATTCCTACTGTTCTTTATTTACACTGCTGTAAATCAGATCAAAATCAGTTTAACTTCCCTTTTACTCTACAGCAGTTCAGTTTTACAGCTCTCTCTAAGCTTTCAGGTGAGTTAAACAACACCAACTCTGGTCACATTTTGTAATACATTTGGTATGAGAATGGGTGTTTTTTTTTTCAAGATTTGCATTTATTCAACATCCTTCAGCTGAGCTCGCTGAAGGTTACCTCAAGGCATATTAGCCACCAATCACTTTTTAATCTTGTCTTAAGAGTATCTCTGCTCTTCCTAGACACTAATTGCTTATTTTCATCAGTTCTCAGTTATTAGCTTTTAATTCTGAAATTACTTTAAAGTACTCTAAAATAATGTTGTCAGTAGAGGCAGAATACAGAGCACTGATGTCATGTTTTCTAACATGGGAATAATATTATTGTAAAGACACTGGCTCCTTCTGTGTGATTTTAAGGCCAGAACTGGAATTTGAACAGCTAACACTCAACTTCAACTGTGATCTTGCCATCTAATATCACTGTGCTAGTTATCACTGACCCAGTCTTTTGGTAAAGGACCAATTCTGAACAACATGCCAAGTGGCAAACATTGTCCTTGGACAAACTGAAGCTCCAAAATTCCATCAGCTTTTTACAAGGGCATTACAGGACGAGGGGTAAAGGATTTAAATTGGAAGAGGGCAGATTTAGACTAGATATTAGAAAGAAATTCTTTACTGTGAGGGTGGTGAGACACTGGAGCAGGTTGCCCAGAGAAGCTGTGGATGCCCCATCCCTGGAGGTGTTCAAGGCCAGGCTGGATGAGGCTTTGAGCAACCTGGTCTCGTGGGCGGTGTCCCTGCCCATGGCAGAGGGGTTGGAACTTGATGATCTCTATGGTCCTTTCCAACCCAAACCATTCTATGATTCTATGATCAGTGGGGGAAAAGGATAATCCAAATGCACAGGCACACTGCAAAAACTATCAGGCATGAAAGACCACCTGAGAAATGCAGTAAGGTGAGATTCCTGAGAAAGCACAACTTGCTGTGTACGTAAAATGAAGGTGTGGTAGCACATTTTCTGAAAAGGGAAAGCATAGGTGACACTGCTGTCCTAATAAAAGCTTTTATTAGGCGCAGCCAGGAAGTCCAAGTGGGATAGCAGGAAAAAGGGCTTAAAGTATTTAGAAAGTATGCTTACTAAAGCCATGCCATTCTGCACTGCCCATCTGTGTAGCCCTTGGGGTTTTCAATACTCCAATGTTCATAGGAATTAGGCAGCTTCTGCAGATGGCCAGCCTGCCTTCAGCTCCCTCCTGCTTCATCCCCACATCCCATCGGAGGTACCTGCCAGGGTAGGCGGGACTCAAGGGCTGCAGTTGAAAGCTGGAAGGGGTTGAGCTCTGCCTGCTAGCTGGTTCTATCAGCTCCCCTGGTAACACATCAAGGGCAGAGGAAGAGATAATATTTACAAAACATTGTCTCTTTTGAGCGGATAGCTGCACCACAGTGAGGACTGGTCCGGCAGCACCGCTATGGGCAGGAGAGGCAAGGTCCTCTAAGGACACTCCACAGGGGATCTGTGTGATGGCCTGGGTCATGTTTTAAGTGTAATCACACAATTGCAGGTGTACAAATTCATAACAAGGAACCATTAGCAGACCAATGCTTAGCATGTGGAAACCACTTGATCTCCTGCCAAGTGCTACCTTTAAGCGATAGCTGGGAAGTAAGACGGAACGTACTCTAAATTCCTTTTGCTCCCTCATGAATATACATATGGCCAATACGTATGCTGGGCTGGCCCTGCAGACTCCTCAGAGTATCTCCCCCTGCATTAGGGCATCTGGGCAGGCATGCCATGAGAAAGGACTACCTCCAAAGAAGGCAATAATGATGCCTTCAGGAAAGCCATGCATCACAGTTGTTAAATTGCCATGGCAGCATCTATAAAAAATGGTGTTTTGGAGTAATCTGCGATTGGGCAATGGCACGCATGAATACTTCCGTCATCAGGATGCAGTGCTTTCATAGCAAATCTTGTTGGATTAACTGCTGCTCCAGTGGAAGGGTGACTGATTTTGTGACTGGAAAAAGTGATTGTGGTTGTAAAATTCCACAAAAAATAAAAAAAAGCTTTACATTAACATAAGAACAGCCTTTTTTCCCCTCTATAAAACCTGTATGAAAATAATTCCCTGCACAAGTAGCCATTAAGAGTGAACAGAGACGGACACAGCCATGGTAATTCAGCTGTCTGGATAACAACAGAATCAGGTAAAGCATGAAGTGCAAGTGAAAAAAAACCTAGTACTCCCACAGACACACAAGAAATGATCAGTACCAAGGTTCAGATTAAATCATGAGATATACATGTGTTAAGCAGGTGAGGCTAAGTCCTAGAAAAGGGGAAAGCTAAAGAGCAATTGTGCATAGAATGGGACAGGAATAAGAAGCCAGTAACAGAGACAGGCAAGGTATGGACCCAATTCATTCATCAATCTTTCTGATCCTTCTGGCATATGTAGATTGCTGTCCTCAGGTCAGCACCACAAACCCAGTACAGCTAGTTAATGATTAGAAATTACTGCCTACAGACAGCTGTCCTATCTCATCTTTAGCCTGGGAGAAATATATCAGTGGTCGTGGTGAAGTTCCAACCGGACAGGTACATGTAAAAGACTGACATCAACTGGGTCTCAGTGGTTTGCCTGTTCTCCCTGTGAACATGCTTGGAGACCCAAATTAGCCCTTTTCCCTCTCCTGTCCAACAGCATTTCTGCAGGTGAGGAAAACCTCCAGTTTCAGACTACAGAAGTATCAGAATGCAAAGGCACAGAACCTAAAGAGATCAGGTAGTAAAATACCTAGAGCAAATATGCTACCAATACAGATTACTCTGCTGTAGTAAGACTACCGTAGTTTCTAAATCTAAAATTTAGAGAATTACTTAAACACATTAGCACTTGCTGACTTCCATCTATTAGCAATCTGTAATAACCAGATACAAAGAGAGACAATGGAGTGGCACGCAAACAATCATTTATCATTTTCATCAACTAAGCATGTATCAAGTAACTTACCACAGTTATAGCATCATTCAGCAAAGACTCTCCAAACACCAGGATGTAAAGTTGCTCATTGACATGAATGTTTTCAAAAACAGCTAACACCGCCACAGGATCCACAGCTGAAATGAGGCTGCCAAAGAGCAAATTCTGCAGCAATGTGATATCAGTCAAACCAAATGCACTGATCTGGCAAATTCCATAAAGTGAAATCCCAATGCCGATGGCATTCCAGAGTGTGCCCACCACGGCATACCAGAATATGGTACCAAAGTTCTCAAAGAAGAGACGAGTTGGCATAAAATATCCAGCGTCCAGTACAATGGGTGGTAAAAGATACAAGAAAAAAACATCACTGTTCATTACAGGTGGGGACTTCTCCTCTGCTCCAAAAATAATCCCACCAAGAAGCAATCCAACCAGAATAAGGAGACAGCTTTCAGGTACTATTGAGGGCAACTTGTGATAGAGATGAAAGCCTTCAAAGGAAATTCAAACACAAGAAAGTGGAATGGTTATTTGTACAGAATCCAAGAGATTATTCTGGATTCTGTGATCTTAATTTCTATAGTCAACAAACAGCAATAGCAGGGCAATTTCATTTTCATTGCAAAGGCTGAACTGGACCACCACAACAGGTCAAGGCAAATCTGTCAGCTAGGGTAGTTAATTCAGTTAATTTGGTGGAGAGACAATTTAATGGTGAGATGTCCAAGTTAACAGCTAGGCTGGCTGGAGCAACTGTGTGCAAGGGCTCTGTGATAGCGTGGGGTTTTTTTTGTAGCATTGAATCCTCCAGAAACACAATCCAAACACTTTTCCAGGGCAAATTACATCTAGACAGAGAAAAAAATCACGCTAACCACCCCTTCCTCCAGGCACAGCTTCACAAAGGAGTTTCGAGAGTACACTCATTTCATTTTTAGATGTTTTTTAGAGCCTCAGAGCTAAGAGAGGGGAACTAACACATGTGACCTGTGCCCAGTCACCCATGGTCACTTCCTCAGTGACCAGGAAGAAATATTTACAGACATATTATTCTTTTAATTTTAGCAGAGCCTCCAAATTAATTTCACAATAACCAACATGTTTTCCATAAAGTGACAATCAGTTACAGCCTGCATTATTATGCTCGTTCTTCTGTATTATATGAATTGTGGTACTGTCAGGAGTTTCTTGTAAAATAATCTGTGCAAAGCACTGAAAAAATTAATAAAAAAATGGTTCTGAATGAGGACTTCATGGCTGAACATTCCTCAGCCTACTAAAACTCTCAAAGCCATGAAGTTTTGATTTAAAGATCCCAATTATTTTCAGAAGTTGAGTGTTTTAAGGATTATTTTGGTAATGAATGGGAAAAAATTTTGAAGGAACTTACTCTGGCCAATCTAATGGAACGATCAACCTTATGCACCAAGGTCACATTCCAGGTCCTGGCGATGCCAATCTTTTCCAGGCTCCTCCTTATCTATATTTGGCCCACATAATTATATAGAAAACTATCCACACCCACAAAATCCCACAATTCCTGCCTAACTAAAAAGCATTTTAATTATTTTAAATGAGAGCTGCATGGAAACACTGGGTGTGGTAATAACGGGCGTCTATTTCAGTAAAACTATTTCAGTAAAAATCACACCTGTAGTCGAAACAGTTAAAACTAGTGCAAGTTTGGTATAGTTCACATCCAGTTTCCCAGTTTCAGGCTTCTGTATCTTGTAACACCAATTCTGCTAATTCTCCTTTCATTATTTTTTCCAGGTAAAAGAAAGCCTGAACTTATAATTAGGAAAAACAAATGGTTAAGAAGGACCAAGGGCAAAGCAGTATTAATCTACCGATTTTTTACTTACATGTTCTATAACTATTAAAACTATTTTTAAAAGAAAGTGGCTCAAGCTGCATTTTTTTTTTCCTTTCTGGATGAATACAGACTGCTTTTTAATATCTAGAAATACAGTCTATGTGGCTCATTAGGACTGTCAAATTCATTGCCATTCTTCAAAACCAGAATCACCAATATCCTGTATCGGCAGAATAGGTAATGACCTTGGAAACACAAGAATTTGCGGTTGGAGACTTCGCTCTTCACCTTTCAGCCACTTCCACATAAACATTTTATGGTTTGTCTTAGTTTCTGCTGTGGCAGGATGCCAAAATTTCCAATACAGTGATTGAAGTTTCCCTTGAGTAAGTAGGTTTTGCTAAAATATTTTTTTACAAGTATCTTAAATTCTCAACAAAAAAATGGAGAGGAGGGAAATTTTGACCCTGTTCTTCGGCTCCTGACTATGCAGTGACCCAGCTTTTAACAAAAACAAAAACATCCCAACCACTTATAAAGCAATGGCAATGAAATGCTTATTGTGAATATAAAATAAAAATATTTTTCTTTTCTTCTTTGCAAGTACTTCTTTAGAAAATTCATACCTCTCAGAGCTTCTGGGACTCCACCCCATCCTTTAAAGTAATGGAAAAGCTGCCACTAAGTTAAATGGGTTTTTTATCCATGTAAACATCATCAAAACTCTTAGAAGTCTGCCTGCCTCCATGAAAGGCATTCAAAGGTGATCAGGGACAGGCTGTGGTTCCCTACTTCGTGGCAGAGAGCTAGGATTTAGGATCCAGTGCACATCAAGACAGGCGCAGGCTAAAGGGCATCTTTCCTGCTCTGACGGATCCACAGCCACATGGTCAGGAGCACCCTGGGAGCAGATTCCCTGCAGTATCTGAATACTCGGACTTTTATGCTGAACCCAGTACAACAGCTACTTTCTCCTCCTCTGACCCTGTTCTTGGGCTCCTGACTATGCAGTGACCCAGCTTCAACAGCACAGAAGATGTTTACCCTCAGGCCATCAGGCACTAGGATGCTTTCCTAAAGTGCAAGTTCGGTATTCTTCAAGCTATAAGTCCTTGGAATCCTGGTTTGCCACTTCTTGGGTGAAATCCAGTGCATTCTGATGCTGGAAATGCCACCGAGACGTGTATCTCTGATTATATGTGAGTTTTCCAAGCGCTCTCTCAACAGCTGAAACCTTTTTTCAGGAGAGGAGTGTTGGAAGGATATCAGCTCAGATCCCAGAAGAAGCAATTCTAATCATGCATTTGTGATTAAACGTAGGAGTAATGGGAATCTGGATGGGTTAAACAACATTTTGTAGGTTTAGTAGCACAGGAATTAAGCAAAACTGGGAGGTAAGTAGACTAGTCTCACTGACCACAGACTGCAGTGTACTTTGGGTGGACTAGGTCTCACCTAATACACTGATGGAGTCCATCAGCATGTTAGTAACATAACTCAGACATGGTACCACCACACAAGATAATACATAAGTAGAGGTAGCCAGAAAATAACAACACTATTCAAGGCAATGTCTTAGATTTCAAAATTTGCCCTTTTTCTAATGCTGGAATAAAAAGCAGCATGTTTCTCATGTCTGTGAAAATGTACCTTGTCAAAATGTTCAAGCTGACAACTTGACCACTTGAGGTTTTCCTTTCTCATGTTTTCTTTCTTTCTTGCTCCCTCTAAACTTAGCCTACAATGACATGATCACAGCCAGGATCTGAGAAAACTTTCAGGTAAATCCTCTACAAAAATTAGCAAATGCTGGAACATTTTCAGCTCCAGTGAAACTGCATTTCTGCAAAAACACACTTGTTCAAAAATTCTCCAGTCAGGCAATAAGCAGGTGCTGCAGTACAGTTGCCTTTGGGATCCTTCACGCACTGTGAAAGCTGTTATTAAATGCGACCCTATCTTCTGAGCTTCTTGCAGCTGAAAAAACCTTAGGGCTCCTTTCATAAAGGTTTGCTGCTCGTCAGTGCCAAGCATAAGCATTCAGCGCCTAGCCCCAGAAAGGAATTTGTGATGCCAGGTTAAGCACCGAAGTTTCCTGGGCAGTGTGCGAGTCTCGAGGTGGATTTCACGCTGCCTGGCACGACAGGGGCGAGATGCCTACGCTGCCCGGCAGGAAATGCTGGGGAGAGGAATGCACCGGAGAGCCTCCTCTCTCACAGGGCCACTTGTGGGGCTACAGGCAGTGAGATGGGCTGGAAAACCCCTCTCCATCCCTGTGAGCTGGGACAGATGGCCCACCCTTAGTAACACAGCAGGACGTGGCAGAGACGACATTTCTGTATCTCGGTGGTTAGAGAACTCTGGCCCATCTGGACTACTGTCAATATAAAAGAAGGCACAAACAAGTGAAAAATTAACGCTGTGGGAATGTGACTTAGGAGTGGTGGGAGTCTGTCCTGGGCAGGTTTACCTGATGCACTCACTGGATAAGGAAGCGCAGACAGAGCTCCAGGAGCAAGAACTGGATGTTCCTAATTCCAGTCCCGGAGTCAGGGCACCTGCAGATAGGTGTGGTGAAGCTGAGCACTGCCACACCTAGGGCCTCTCCTGGATCCGGCCCTCATTGCTGAGCGCATGCACGCTTTTAACAGCAGAGGTAATGCCCTAGATTAGCCACACTAGCTGTCGTTTGGTATAACTGAGGGGACTTAAAAACCATATTCATTTTTCCTCATCTACACTGTTTGTTTGTTTGCTGTACTGCAGTCAGGTTGGAAAATTAAAGCAGTCAAGTAACTTTTTTTTTTCTACTTTTTAGATGCCTGTGCACTAGCACTGATAGAACATACAGTCTTACAGAAATAATATATTATTGTGTATGTATGTATGTTCACACATTTCTAAACAGCTTCCCTATAATCACAGACTCATAGAAACATAGAATGGTTTGATCTTTAATAAAAAAGAAACTTTTTCACTAGTCTTATCTTATTCGAGTTCTTGCTGTATCTAAACTCAGAAGCCAGGGCAATTTTACAACAGTCAACTGGCCGAGATAAGTTCTTTACCAAACTCAGTATTTTATGGCTATTACAATTCATTATATACTTGAGTGTATCACATTTGAACTCCGTCCTTATTCTGCAAACACCTAAATACATACTCAAGGCTAAGCATGCATCTTTAAGGCATTAAGGTACACGTATCAAGATACATCCACCCTTAATGGATGCAACACACAATATTTCTGCAGAAAGTAATGAAACCATAGCAAGTTGCTTGGGTAGAGGATCAGGCCCCAACTACAACGCTTGCTGTGGCAGGAGGTGAGTATAAATTTTTGGGTTTTTTTCAGAATCCTAATTACCTGATCACTAATCAGAATGTAACACATCCTATTTAAATGTCACAAGCAGAAGTCAAAGTTTTAAGTTTTATCACAATGTTTTATCAGAATGAGTATGATCATAGTTTTTTTATGGAAGTCTGCGCTGCAAAAACAGAGTTCTCAATCAAACAACTGAAGTGTGAGTAAACCTTTTTTTGATGTTGTTCCCATGGCTTTATTCCTTACATTATCTTCTACGTAAGAAGATACAAAGTTCATAATTTATAGAGATTTACTTTTTTTTAAATGGCTCTCTAGTACACCAAAACCTGACGTTCTTTAGATTA